AGTTCTCCCCACTCTTGGTGTTCGTCTTAACATCTTTTTTCACTATTTACAAGTGTTTTGACACTGAAATTGCACTGGGAGATAGGAGCGCAAGAACCCCAAAGCGCAGCGCGACGTCATACAAACAAGCGGAAAATACAGCACAACTGCTTGTAGCAAAAAAATGTCCTTTGAGACGTTTCGTATCTCGAACATTTAGTAACTTGAAGCATTATTATCTCGGGGTACCACTGTATTTCTTATATTTAAGTCTTGGCATCCTACACATGTGCTGAATTTCATCCAACATAAACTGAAACTTAGGGGGCGCTATAGAGCCATTTGGCCACTTTTCGCCATGTAATGCAGTCCAGGTTTGACCATTTCTTTCCAAACCACAATAATCTGCAGTTTAGTTCACTGATCTATTCAGGAACCAGCCTCTCCCTGCTCTGAAAGACTTCATGCAATGTAAATGAGTTGCATATCGCTGGATTCAGCTGGTTGTTAGCTTTTATTTGATGCTATGGTTTTGGTGTTCATATTGTAGATACATATCGCACATAAACAAAAACGTGGTCATGAATTATACTCCGGATATGTTGTTGTTTATTTGCATGGCGTTCGAGCTGTGGTTCACGGATATGAAATTGAACTAGATACGTTTTTAGAGGAGTTTCCGCTGAACACAACAGTATTTAATATGTGTGGGTTATTCTCAGGGTTCGTGAGCTATGAGTGAAAATGTAACGCACAAGGGGGCAAGTCCCTGGTACCGGGGACTCTCGGGCTTAAGAGGTTAAGAACTCCCCCTAGAGGAGAAAACTCCACCAGAGGAAGCTTTTTTTTACTTTGTTAAACTATGTGCGTACAGCCACCATCAAAGTTCTAATTGTTGACATAAACAGGAAGTTGCTAATAACTTTGTTCAATCAATGTTCAATGTTCAATCAGGCTCAAATGTTCCATGTATGTTAAGACACCATGTCTGAACAAATCTATATAGCAACCTACAGTGTTCTGAACAAATCTATATAGCAACCTACAGTGTTCTGAACAAATCTATATAGCAACCTACAGTGTTCTGAAGAAATCTATATAGCAACCTACAGTGTTCTGAACAAATCTATATAGCAACCTACAGTGTTCTGAACAAATCTATATAGCAACCTACAGTGTTCTGAACAAATCTATATAGCAACCTACAGAGTTCTGAACAAATCTATATAGCAACCTACAGTGTTCTGAACAAATCTATATAGCAACCTACAGTGTTCTGAACAAATCTATATAGCAACCTACAGTGTTCTGAACAAATCTATATAGCAACCTACAGTGTTCTGAACAAAACTATATAGCAACCTACTGTGTTCTGAACAAATCTATATAGCAACCTACTGTGTTGGTAACAGCGCCACATAGTGACAAAACTGGCCATAACTGATATCCCTTTTTCTGGCGTTTCCGACCACTATTTCAGACTGTGTTTGGAGCGCATGTTTACAATGTGAAAATTTATTTTGCAGATGCTGCCCTACAAAAAAGTCGATTGGGGCTAGATTTAAAAAAAAGGCCACTCTTGCTCATGTCACGGTTTAACGAACTCCTTGTAATTTTAGCTTTTCACCTCCAATTTCTATCAGTCTTATCTTAACGAATATGGAAAGTTAAATTGCGAAGCTATTCTATGCACACACAGCGGCTGTCGAAAGTGATCATTTTCATTAACAGGAAGTTGTTATAAGCAGTGACTGATTACTCCTTTTAAAATAATTAAGTTATTCTTTTGATTACTTTGTCAAGTAATTCGTTACATTACTATTTACTCGCTGTGTGTGAATCAGAGCTGCTGCGTAATGAGTGGCACATGGTGACATATTTGTTTCCTGTTCTTCTCTCATCGTATTCGACAGCGAAATGATCCCAAATAACAAGTTTAAAAGCTGACTGTATTGCCTCATATCGCTGACTTAGAGAGCTCTAGTGTACACAAAAAGTCCCACCCTCTTCTATAAATTTGGTGATTGCTGATTGGATATTTAATCATGCAACAGTTCATTGATTGGATATTTGCTCCAGAACTGCGTCCCCATCCCCCGTGTGCAACTAAAAACCAAGCACCTGCTCCAGACTAACTCAAATTTCACTTTCTCTCAGCAACTCTGTAACGCGGCGGAAATTGTAATGGATTTTTTAAATGTTAAACAATTGCGTTTCATTAGTTGTGTTATACTACCATCTAGTGGTCATTTAGAGACATAGAATAGCGTGTGTTTCTTTAACTGTAGATCTTTAGTTCTTAAATCTTCTTATTATTCTTTTCATACTATCATTTTATTTAGACTTACATTTGAGTGTTTTATTAGTTAAAGGTAATGCTAAATGGGTTTATTGTTGAGACGGAGGAGGAGAAAACCTTAGCACACGTCATGCTTTAGTACCGCCCATGGAGGAGGATATAAATGTAGGGGACACGGACACTCTCTCTTCCGGCGTTCTTCTTCTACGCTTTCATGATAGCATATTATTGTGTTTAATGTCTTTATAATAAATAGCCATTGTTGCTGTGTTCCTGTCTCCAGTGTTTATTCTCAATAGAGAAGGTATTTTATTACCATAACATAACGCATAGTTACTTATATACTTAACTATAATCTAATTACCATTTTTTAAATTATAATGTGTCAAATTACTGCATTTCTAAAAAAGTAAAATCCCATTTTAAATTTGGTCCCAAATTTACCAACGATCAACAGTCCATGTCGGAAAACATCTACTGCATACACTTTCTGTTATATCACCACCTGGTGGCCAAAGGAGGAACAACAATAAAATTGCTAAGGCATCTTGTGTTACCAATTTTGACATGCGACAAGAATCTTGGCCAAAACAATACCGGAAAATATTTATACTCTTTAGGATCTGTCGTCGTGCATATTGCAACGAACTGGCCACAGAGAGGCGATAGCGCTGGAGGTGCTCGAGTCCTTTGATCAATAATGCAGCTTTAATTTGTTATTGTTCATTATGATTTTTCCTCTGTCAGTATTTGTTAACAGTAACATGCAAAATTGCTCCTTCATTTTTTTTTTTTTATTCAGAATTTAACCAACTAAAACTGATTCATACCATTTGGGAGCAATAAAGGCCTAGGTTTTCTTGGGGAGAACTGGTTCTGGTTCATGGGTTAAATTGAAATCTTAGTTGAGAAGAAACTGAATGGTTCTATTTTCACAGATCTCGGTGCCATTCTCACTGGTGTAACGACTTTGGCGCTACGTTAATCAGAGCCAGAACCAGCGTTATTACCCCACATAAGAGCTCAAATGAGTTGGCGGTGCATTCAAAAGCCGTTTAAGTGTGACTTTATTTGTGTGAAATGTGTTTTCTGGACGGGCGTTGCAATCCTCAAGGCTCATGATCAGCCATGTTACTGTATTTAGGAGCTAGAGACAGGAGTGGTGGATCTTCTCATTCCTTCCCCCAACGCTGCAGCCGAGGTGGGCTACAACAGAGACCGGTGAGTGCTGTTCTGACCAACATCTTTGTTACTACTAAACCTCCAAACTGACCCTTAGTGTGTGTGTGTGGTCAGTTTCCTGCTGAACCCCTCAGCCTGTCTGGAGGAGCACCTGCTGCAGTTCAAGTTCCTAGGCATCCTGATGGGTGTGGCCATTCGCACAAAGAAGCCTCTGGACTTGCATCTGGCACCCATGGTATGGAAGCAGCTGTGCTGTGTTCCTGTCAGCCTGGAGGATCTGGAGGAAGTGGATCTTCTATATGTGCAGACACTCAACAGCATCCTGCACCTGGAGGACAGTGGCATCAATGAGCACAACTTCCACGAGGTAGGAAGTTCTATCCTTACGAAACGGAACCATTCGGTTTCTAATCTGAAGTTCTTTTCAAGCGTTAGTAACTAATGATATTTCAGGAAGCCAAACGTTCACAAAGCAAGTTTTTTTTTTTTACTTTGTAAGATATTGATAGAGTGGTTATTATATTTTATAGGCCGTTGTTAGATATAGATCTTAAATTTGAATCTTAATGGGCTTAAAAACTTGACCTTGTGAAACCTGCAGGAAGCAGCCAATGGGTGGCAATTAAGAATAGCTCCAACTCTCTGTTTCTCCTCAAGGTCCCCTGACCTTGTATAGCTTCAACTTTAAGTACATTATTTCACTTTCTTGGTGCATTTCTTATAAATTCAGGATATATGCTGATTGTCCATATTGTGTGTGTGTGACCTTTTTGAGAATAGTTGAGTGGCTTCCTCATTTCTGTAAGTAGTACTGGCGCAGACTGTTCAGTACAACAACTATGAACATAAGATCCGCTCTTACCTTTGTGATTAGTTCCCCCCCTTTGGATGTCAGACCTACAAAAAGAACTCTTGGAACAAGACAAAATTGAAATCTAGCTAAACTCTTCCTAGATCAAGCAGAAAAATCCAAGGGGGGAGTCAGTGATGGAGCTCAAAATAAGACAAAACAAGTGTTTTCCAGCTGTTTAGAAAGTAAAACTGCATTGAAACTACAGTATTTGTATCTAGTCACGTGATCTTAAAGCATGTTTATTGTCCTTAATTCAAGTCCGTAACAATACGGTTTGGTCTAAAATTAGGAATGGTTGCTAATATTTTAGGGAAAACAACATCCATTCAAGAATGTTTGTGCTTAATTTTAGTAGCCAAAACAAAGTATGTGTTTTCAGACAAGAAAGTCTTTCTCAAAATGTATTTGTTTTGGTTTGGGCCCATTAGCATTTGTCGGTATAACAGTTTAGACAGACAGGAGGCAAGCAACATTTCTGGGTTTTTATCCACTCACATTGGATTCAAACTCCGGTCCAGTTTCAAGCGCATTATGCACCACACCACAATCTCCACAGAGTTTATAGTAATGGTTTTATAAATGGTTAATTATAGAAAAACCAGCCCTAAGTTAAGAAAGTCTGGGCACAGTTCTTAAAAACATGAAATCTTAAAATTACGTAACTGATGAGCCCTAATCTTTATGGGGGCAGTAATGGCCTAGTGGATAAGGTGATTGATTGGAGATCAAAGGTCGCGGGTTCGATCCCCATCTTCACTGGGGCTGGAAGGTGGGATGAGTGTTGAAACCTGTGACAACTGTGGTGGCTCAGAGCAAGCCAGTTTCCCCACAGCTATGTGTTAACGGTGCGTTTGTGTGCACTTGGATGGATCACTCCATACTTGGTCCTAATGTCACTTTTTTTAGGATAAATTTAGCAAAACATAAAAGTATTAAAACAAGGACATTTGTGCTTAAAACCAATGTTACTAGTGTAACTAGAAAAAACTGCTTAAAAATCGGACCGAAAATAATGTTAACATAAATAAACTGAGTTCAAATAACTTAAAACAAGAAAGAAGTTGTTCTTGACTTTATTTTTACCAAGTCAAGATTTCTTCCACTGTGATATAGATTTTAACTCTATTTATTACATTATTTAAGGTGTTTTTATCTGAATTTAACATTTTCTTAAAATAAGACGACCGTAATATTCTTGAAGTAAGAAACTGCCTATGTTTTACGAAGTTTCTTAATTCAGGCAAATAAATTATCAGAGTAAGCATATTTTTTTTCTTAAGAAACATTGGGGCAGAGTTATTGCTGACGCTTGGATTGGTGTGGGTGTGAATATTAACCAATAACTGAAAACAATATATATTTATCCAAATTAATTTTCCTTTATGAATAGATGATTCCATTGGATTCATTTATTGGACAAAGTGCAGATGGGAAAATGGTTCCCATCATTCCTGGGGGAAGCAGCATCCCACTGACCTTCTCCAACAGGAAAGAATATGTAGAGCGTGCCATAGAGTACCGTCTGCACGAGATGGATCGCCAGGTGAGTTCTAGACTTTATTTACAACCTTGATATTTACTGAATGTTGTTTGGCATTAGTGTTGCGTGGATTACAGTTGTTCATTCTATGATGAGGTCCACATGTCACAGAGCAGACAGTCAGGCACATAACCGTAGAAAAGAAAGACAAAAAAATCCTAGTCAGATGGGACCCAGGGATGCGCAAAAAGTTGAGAGTAGAAGGGGTCCAATAATTCAAACTTGAGGAACCCCAGATACTCTGAAGGGTCTGTTCGTGAGGTAGAACTCAAACCTGTCGAGGGCTGGTTGTCTTATCAGGCTGATGACAATGGTGAGGAACTCAATCTCAAGTGGCCTCAAATGATTTGTTTACCAAACAGAAAAGAACAACAAAACACATGTAAGAGAATATATTTGAATATTTCATAACACTAAACTACACCTATATTCAGTGTTGGGAAGAAATGTTGCATAACAGAGAGACGGACGCAGGCAGAGAGACGGACGCAGGCAGAGAGTCGGACGCAGGCAGAGAGTCGGACGCAGGCAGAGAGTCGGACGCAGGCAGAGAGTCGGACGCAGGCAGAGAGTCGGACGCAGGCAGAGAGACGGACGCAGGCAGAGAGACGGACGCAGGCAG